CCCCCGTCAGCCCCGACCCCGCCCCTGGTCTGCGGGCCGCCACGATTGGTTCCTCCTTGCCTAACCCCGCCTCAAGATCCGCTCCCCACCGCCCGCTGTCCCTCGGGATTGGCTCTTTCTCGGCCGTTTTCCGCTCTTGGCTCCGCCCCTCCTCCCTTCATAATCGCTCCCGCCCCTCGCTCGGCGGAAGTTTCCGCAGCGTGAGGGCCCACTTCCTGTTTATGCGACGAATAAGGGGTGGGGCAAGACCGGTTGGCAGGGCGACGTCGAGCAAGTGGGGCAGATGAGAAGGAGGAGCCGCAGCGAAGGAGGGGCTTGGGAACACACCTAGCCCGAGCTCGCTTGGAACGGGTGTCGCCACCGTATTGTCCCCCCCAACACATTTATTTTGCCCGATGTCCCCTTCCGCGTTGTGGAGAGCGGGCGGGGACGTGTGCATGTTGGGGATGTGTGCTGAGTGTGCATATCATCAGGCGTGTTTGCACGCGTGTGCTCTCCACTTATGGAAGGGCGGCATGGGATGCAAACGCGGCCTGAGTGGTAGAGTTTGGAGAGAAAATGCATGTCCCTTTCCCGAGCGGGCAGAGAAGTGCTCTCTGCAGCGCCTCTCCCACCAACCCAGCCCTTTGCCTGACCCACTACTTTCAAACGGGGCACATTCATGATGGAGCGACAGGGGCACAAGTTAAATGACTGACTTTAAGTAGATTTAAGAGTTTTGCTCTGGGCTGCACGCTGTGCTAAATGCAGACATACACAAGTCTTCTTAGCGACCTTTGGAAGCAGATCTCTCAATACAGAAGGAGACACCAAAGCACTGGCTCTGCCACTTGACAAAGTCTTATCACCAAGGGTAAACCAGGATTCATTCTAGGTGCTTCTGCAGGGCTCTGCTCTCGTCCTGGGGTGGGGGTAGTAGGTAGTGCCAGAATAACATTGTCCTTTCCCAGGTGAATGATCTCCAGAGCTATGAGCTGCCCTGGGCTTTTTATACCTGCCAGGGGCCTCTGCTCACAGGACCTGGCTGATTTCACTGCCATCCTCCTGCACATCATTCTGGCAGGACCCGAAGATTGCACTGATGGCAATTTACAGATCTTCACTCAGTTGGTCACATCTGACTTCTGCCGCCGCCTTAGTATCCCCACCCTGAAAGCATTCTTTCCCCATGTATAATGTGTCCACCTCACAACAGCTGGTTTAAAACTCACCTTTCCAGGAGATATTCACTAGGGTTCACATGTTGTTTTGTTTTGTTCCTTGTTTTTTTTTTTTTTTTTCGTAGAATCCACTCTGCCTGTCCTAGGTCATTCTGCTGTGTGAGTCTGCGTGTATTTGTGTTTATATGCTATGTTTGTTGGGGAGCATTTATAGAGCTAGCCCGTGCATAGAATTGGCACTTAGGGCTCATAACCACTTCCAGAGTTCTTTACATTTCACAACAGACTTAGGATATAAACCCACTGTTGTGTACATGCTGCAGTTGAAGAAACAGGTTTGGAGAGTTCCCATGAATGCCTACAGCCACATGGCTGGCACAGCTATGCCAGTGAGAAGAGTCCATCTTGGTTTGTGCAGACTTGGATGCCCTCAGTGTTCATTAGCACTGCAAGGGCCAGCCAGGCTTTCTGCCCCTGCACCTCCCTCCAGCCCAGGGCTGCTACTCTGCACATGCAAGTCCTGGACAGCCACCCATTGCTCTACTTGGATCTCAATGTCAACAGAAAGAGGAAGCACTAAGATACCACAGACTTTGAAACAGCATTAGTAGGACCAGCAGATGGTGTAGTGGCTATGTCGCTGGACTCCCATGTAGTTGACCGCAGTTCGAGTCCCAGACCGGTGGCTTAAACTCACTCTGGGCACATGTGCATGCATGCCCAAGATCCCAAGAAGAGAATGGAGAAGAAAGGATTGTGGCGTGGCCAACCCCCTGGGGTGTGATTTCTCACTTTCTGTCTCTGTCTTTCTGGTGAGTGCATGTGCCCTATAGCAAGAACCTCTCCAAAAAGGAAGAAAAAGGAAGCTATGATCAGTGAGTGGATGCTAGAACTGGAGACTCCACAAAGGTAGGGGGAGAGTGAAGAAGCAAGTTCTGGATGGTGGCAAGGATCAAATTGCAGTCTTGGGACTGGATGTCACAGTGAGTGGGACAAGAGGACCAGGCAGAATGGATGGTGCTGAGGACTCAGGATGCTGGCAGGACCAGGCAGGATGATGGAGATCCTGACCCTAGTGCCTGAGTCTTCTGTGCCTATGGGTTATGATCTCACATCCACATATTTCAGAGAGGACGAGGGAGGAAGAGATGATCGAGTGCTTATTAGACAATAAATAGCATTTGTTTTTTTCTTTCCCGGGGCCTGCCATAACCTAGCACCACAAACTGGCTTGTTTAAAACAATAGACATGTACTCTCTCAGAGTTCTGGAGGTCCGAAGTCTGAGATGAAGGTGGCAAACAGAAGAACTGCATTCTCTCTGAAGCCTCCAGGGGAGAATCCTTCTTTGACCTTCCCGCGTCTGGTGGCTTCTGGCGATCCCTGGTATTCTTTGGCTTGTGACCACATCACTCCCATCTTCCTACACCTTCATATAACTACCTTCTCTCTGTGTGTCTTCTGCTTCTTAGAAGGATGCCAGTCCTATAGGACTAGAGCACACACTAACGACCTCATCTTAACCTGATTACATCTGCAAAGATCCTATTTACAGGAGTCAGCCAGTGCCGTGGTGATTAAGGCAGTTGGATCACACATGGCTGACCAAGTAGTTTCAGTCCCAGACCCAGTGACTTGAAAAAAAGACCAAGTACATGTACACGTGTGCCCAAAATTCCAAGGGGAGAAGGGATTGTGGCATGATCATTCCTCCTGCTGGGTGATTTCTCACTCTCTCTGTGTTGAGTGCACACACCCTATAACAAAAACTAAATGAGCAAAAAGATCCTATTTCTAAATAGGAACACATTCATAGGCACAGAGGTGGGGAGGGAAGGGGTTAAGATTTGAAGGTACTTTTTTGGGGGACACAATTCAACCCACAACAGATACGTCATACATGTGCCAATGGTGAAAATGTTCCATTTGAGATAGTTACCGTGCACACATGTTGGTCGTGGGGCAGGGAAGGTACTTGTGATTGGGGTCTGCCTGTGGGAAGCTGGGTAGCCTCCAGGTTTGTCACTTATTTCTTAGGGCTTTTAAAATGCTGTTCCTATCTCTGTCAGCAGGTGTCAGTATCACCCATACCCAGCTTGGTGTGCTTGGGTGCATGTAAGCTCTAGATGAAGTCATTATTTATCTTATCTTCCTGCGGAAGGCTTGCGGAAGGCTTGAAATCTCAGTTGGGAAGTGGGGGTTTTTATCTTAACTTCATGGTTTAGCATTTTGCAAAAGCAATGGGTCCCACCTTTCACGTCTTTGGTGAATGTGAGGGTCACGGGGCCATGTGCCTCAGGGGAGCACAGGAGTGGGACCTCAGAGATGCTAGGATTCTCCTCTGTTACCAGCCCCCCAGGTTGGAAGTCAATGAGCAGCCTGGAGGACATTTCTGTTTGCAGAGCCCTCCGTGTGCTTAGCTTCCAGAGACCACACTTGGCAATGCCCTGGGGGGTGTTTCTCAGCCTCTCTCTCCACAGAACCAAGGTTAAGACTCAGCTGGTCCCAGGGTTGTATGCGATGTTTGTCAGTGCTTGGTGGCTGTCATCAACTCTTGGGTGGTGTGTTGTAGAAATTGCTCATCTTTGATTTCTAGCAGAAGAGGGAATGTGGGCCTTGGGAATAAAGAGGGCAGGCCTCCAAGTATTTTGGCTCTAAGGCTTAGGAGCAGGATTTGAGGAGTTAACATGAGCTACTACTTCTATGTGGTTCCTAAAGACCGAATTGTTTTGATGTAACTTTCATACATCCTGTACCCAATTAGGAGGAGGATTTTGTTCTTCCTTCAACCTGCCACTCATCTTGCAGGGCCCCAGGGTCAAAGTGGTCCCTTTGCCACTGACTGGGGGCTGCAACATCTGTGTGATCCAGTGATAAGGCCTGGCCTCGTGAATGGGCTTCCTTTGGGTAAGTAGGGGCCAGGAGGAGGCTGGGAGACATCAGGTTAATTTAGGGGCCAGAGAATATTGGGAAGGACATTGCCCAGGACTGGGGTGTCAGCTCAGGTTCAAGTCCACATGGCAGGTGAGGGATGAGGGTGCAGTACACACCGTATTGTCCTTGAGGAATGCAAAAGCTGCATTGCACGACATGTGTCCAGCAGTAAAGCTCTGGGTCTCTGCGTCGGGCTTTCAGAGGAGCCTTGCATGCCTTGCATGGGATGCTGCTGAGACAGCTGGGGGTGGAGCCTGTGGGATATTGCCACCCCAGTCAGGGCAGGCCAGCCATTCTCTGTGGATAGCTATCTCCTCTCTGGGCTGGGAGCTCCCCCAACAGGCATTGATCTGCCGCATTCACAACCCCTGTTAGTTTCCTGACTACTGCAACAAATGACCGCAACCTGGGTGGTTAAGACCACAGAAGAGTATTCCCAGAGGGTTCTGGAGGCGGGAAGTCTAAGGTGCAGGTGTGGGCAGGATCAGCCCCTATTGAGGCTCTAAGAGAATCTTTTCCAGACCCGTCTCCCAGCTGCTGGTGGCTTCCTGGTGCCACTTGGCATGAAGATGCACCACACAATCTGTCTTCACATTCACACAGCGTTTGTCCCTCTGTGTCTGGTCTATCTCAAAGCTCCCTCTCCTTTCTCTTCTAAGGACACCGTCCATTGAATTTAGGGCCCACCATAAGTCTAGGATGATTTCATCCAGAGATCCTTTACTTAATTGTGTCTGCAAATACTCTTTTCCCAAATAAGGTCACATTCACAGATACTAAGGGTCAGGATAGGGTGCTGTTCAACCTTTACATTGGTATCCCCAACACTACGCACTGTTGGGTGAATGAGTGTAGTTTTCTACTCTTTGGTAGTGAGA